CTGAACTAACAAAGAGACATCACCCAGATCCCAGAGAGATCACTGTGCTGCACACATATGGGACAGACCAAAACACCATGGCAAATGGCTTGAAAATCGAACTGACATTGAAAGACAAACTGACATTGGAACCACCATCATAGCGTGTGGACTGAAACTTGTAGACTAACCATAAGCAGGTTGATGGCCTGCAAATACAAAAATACCAAGGTGTTCCACAAGAATCTAACAGGACCCAGGATCTAATTACATAAAATTAGAAATGTCCAGGCTACAATTGGAATGACTCAATATACCAAAAACTAGAAAAATCTCAACTCACATCAGAAAAGATAATTAACAGAAGCCAATGCCAAAATCACACAAATATTGGAATGATCTGAAAAGATAGTAAAGAAGCAATTACAAAAATGTACCAGCAAGCAATCACAAATATTCTTGAAACCAATGGAAACACAGAAAGCCTCAGCAAAGGTATAAAAAGATACAAAGAAGAACCAAGTGGAAATTTTAGAAATAAAAAACACAATAAACCAAAGAAGACCAGGCTCAGTGGCTCACATTTGTAATCTTAGCACTTTGGAAGACTGAGGTTGAAGGATCAGTTGAGTCTAGGAGTTTGAGAGTAGCCTGGGCAACACAGTGAAACCCTATCTCTACAAAAAATACAAAAATTAAGTGGGCATGGTGGTGTGCACCTGTAGTCCCAGCTACTCAGGAGACTGAAAAGGGAGGATAACTCAAGCCTGGAAGCCATGATATTGTGCCACTGCACTCCAGCCTGGGCAACAGAGGGAGACCTTGTCTCAAAAACGAAGAAGAAGGAAGGAAGAAGAGGAAGAAGAGGAAGAACAATAAGAACAAGAAGATGAGGAAGAAGGGGAAGAGGAAGAAGAAGGAGGAGGAGGAGGAGGAAAAGAAGAAAAAGAAGAAGGGGGAGGAAGAGGAGGATGGGTGGGGAAGGAAAAATGAAAAAACAAACAGAAACCCTGGATCAGCTGAGTAGCATAATGGATATGACAGAGAAAAGAGTTAATTGACTAAAACTTGACCAGAACTTCAGGGACCTTTGAGACAATAAGAAAAGGTTTGACATTTGTGTCACTAGACTCTCAGAAGGAGAAGAAAAAAGTGCTTAAAAATATTTAAAGCAATAATGCTTGAAAATTCTCTAAATCTGACCTGCAGCTACATGCTCAAGTAGTTCAGGGAATCCCCAATAGGAGACACTAAAAGAAATCCACACTCAGACACATCATGATTATATTCCTGAAAACAAAAAACAAAGAAAATGTCTTAAAAGCAGTCAGGGAAAACAGACATGTTACTTATAAGGAATAATAATCCAAATGAATGTGGATTTCTCATCAGGAACCATGGAAACCAGAAGGAAGTGAAACACTTTTAAAGAACTCAAACAATTGCCAACTAATATTCTATGTCCAGGAAAAATATCCTTCATAAAGAGATGAAAGAGAGACATTCTCTGATGAAAGCAAGCAAAGGACATTCATGACCAGCAGATCTGCTCTAAAAGAAATGTTAAAAATGTTCATCACATAGAAGGGAAATGAGAGCAGAAGGAAACTTGGAACATCAAGAACAAAGAAGAGCAACTGAAAGAGTGAGATCTGGGTAAGTGTAAGCGATGATTCTTTTCCTCTTACGTTAATCAAATTCATAGTTTAAGACCTTCCATAAAAGGAAAATCCTGCCCCAGAAGATGTCCCTTACAAATTTTTTTCAAGTTTAGAGAAGAAACAACAGTTCTACACACTGTCTTCCAGAAAATAGAAGACAGAATGCTTCACACCTCACTTTTTGAGGTCAACGCTACCCTGATAGTAAAATCAGATGAAGGCAGGATTAGAAAAGAAAACTGCCGACCAATAATCCTCTTGAACATAGACACAGAAATCCTCATCAAAATATTAACAAATCGGCTGGGTGTGGTGGCTCGTGCAGTAGTACCAGCACTTTGGGAAGCCAAGGTGGGTAGATCACATGAGGTCAGGAGTTTGAGACCAGCCTGGTCAATATGGTGAAACCCCAGCTCTACTAAAAATGCAAAAATTAGCTGGGCATGGTAGTGCACGCTTGTAATCCCAGCTACTCAGGAGGCTGAGGCAGGAGAATCGCTTGAACCCAGGAGGTGGAGACTGCGGGTGGGCCAAGATCGCGCCGCATCATTGCACTCCAGCCTAGGTGACAGAGCAAGACTCTGTCTATAGATATATATATAGATATATATATAGATATACATACATACATATATATAGAGAGAGATATATATATATAGATATATATATATATCTCACCAAAAAAACACACCATAACCAAGTGGGTTTATTTTATGAATGCAAAGCTTGTTCAGTGAGTAATCATCTAACAGTCTAAAGAAGAAAAACCAAATGATTATATAGTTGATGCAGAAAAGGCATATGACAAAACTCAGTATCTATTCATAATAGAAATTCTCAGCAACTAGAAATAAAAGGAAACTTTCTCAACCTGAGAAAGGACATCTACAAGAAACCTGCAGTTCACACCATAGTTAACAGTGAAAACTGAGAACTTTTCTCCCAAAGATCGGGAACAAGGCAAAGGTGTCCATCCTCACTACTGTTCAACATCACACTGTAAGTGCTTGCCAGTGAACTGAGGCAGGAAAAAGAAGTAAAAGGCCTACATATGGGAAAGAAAGAAATAAAACTGCACTTATTTTCATAAGAAATAGTTTTCTACACTAAAAACTTCTAGGCCTAGTCAGTGCATTTAGCAAGGACACAAAGCCAACACACAAAAATCAATCAGATTCCTGTGTACTACCCATGAACAACTGGAAACTAAAGTTTTTTTAAGTTTATAGTAGCTGCTCCCCCCAATTAAATACTTAGATATAAACCTAACAAGTCATCTACAATAGGAGTCTGCAGACTTTCTGCAAGGACCAGATAGTAAGTATTTTAGGCTTTGCAGGTTACTATGATCTCTATTGAATGTTCTCCTTTGTTTTTGTTTTGTTTTGTTTTGTCTCGGGGTTTTTTACAAACTTCTTAGCTCACTAGTCCCACAAAACAGGCCACAGACCAGATTTAACTGCTAGGTCATAGTTTGCAAACTCCTGATCTATAGGATCTGTATGCTAAAAACTACAAAATTCTAATGAAAAAAATCAAAAAAGACACAAATAAATGGGGAGACATCCTGTGTTCATGGTTTGGAAGACTCGGTATAGTAAAGATAACAGCTGTCTCAGAACTGATCTACAGATTTAACACAGTATCAATCAACATCCCAGAACTTGTCTGTAGATATAACAAGTTAATTCTAAAATTTATATGAAAAGGTGAAGCAATGAGCAAAGCCAAAACTGTTTTTTTAAAGTATAAAGTTGAAATAATTACACTACCCAGTTTTAAGGCTTATTACAAAAGTACGGTAATTATGATAGTGTGGTATGAGTGAAAGAGGAGACACTTAGATCAATGGGATAAAGAGATCACAAATGGATGTACAAATACAGTCATCTAATTTTAGACAAAGGTGCAAAAACAATTCAATCAAGAAAGGGTAGTCCTTTTGGCAGATGGTGCGAGAACAACTGGATAATCTATATGCAAATATGAATATTGACCTAAACCTCACACCTTGTAAAAAAAATTAACTCAAATATATTAACTTAAATATAAAACCAAAAATTGTAAAACTTTTAGAAGTAACATAAAAGAAAATCTTTGTGCCCTGGAGCTAGGGAAAGACATATATCAAAAGCACAATCTATAAAAGAAAAAAATGATATACTGGACTTTATCAAAATTAAAACCTTTTCTCTAATGAGTTTTCTTTGGCATCACTTCACTAAAATAAAGGGATGTTTATAGAGATTTAAAGGAAAGGATGCCAAGGTGCCTCTTGGCATGGTTACGTACTCTGTTCCATCATCCCTGATAGGGCAGGAGCCACGTGTTTTCTTTGGGTTGGCTAATGGTTGTAACCATACAGCTACTTTAGGGTCACTGTCAGAAACTGCCCTTTGCCTTGCATGTCTGTACCAGCCCAGTCACCTTCTCAAAAAAAGGCAAAAATTAGAAAGCCATGCAGAGGAGAAACATTTGCTCAGGAAAACGATCAACTGGCAATTATTTTTTTTACAATGAAATGTCAAAGTATTATTTCCTCCTAAAAATATACCTCTCTGAAACATCCCATGCTTGAAGTTAATTTAAAATATTACTGCTGCCTTTCTTCTTCAGTGCATTTTCTTTGAAGAGACTTTTCAAAACCCTGGCCATCAGGCTTTCTCTCATTCGAGATGAGTGTTCTACATAATAAATATTCTTCATATCTTTCCTACTAGGAGGCAGAAAACTCTTCAGTTTTATAGTAAACTGGGGAAAACATATATGCATTGGTGTATCCTCATCAAGGTGACAAGAGAAGACTTGAAAAGGTGATGCATACCTCATAGGTGATTCTTTCTTCCCTGATTTCTGAGCTCAGCACATTTTTTACTAAAGCACATTACATTTCAAAGCCTTAATATAATTATTAAATATTCAATGTATACAATACACAGTTTCTTAGCTATCACGGGATCAGTTGCCTCTGCCCTGAGATCTGCTGGATGTCATTCCAACTGGCCTCTTTTCAGGATTCCTCCTTACAGTCTGATGAGAATGAATAGGAGATAAAGGACAAGGAGGAAAGATCTGGTAGATTGGCGAGTAAGAGATGGAAAAATGGGGAGACAAATGATGGTTTCCAAAAGAAGAGAATCTTTAAACGACGTGCATTTTAAGTGAAGAGTTCTGGAAGTTTCATCCCTATAAAGCTGTAGGGACGTCTACTCTAGAGTGAAGTTTTATGGCAACAGTCACAGGGAGATACGCAAAGATGAATGGTGTTGCCTTGGAATGAACTTTTTATGAGTTCCCTCTGGTTGCTAGGTATGTGCGAAACATTCTTTCCTTGGGTCAGAGATTTTATTACCTTTCCAATGGCCAGGGTTTCACTGTTCTAACTGATGAAAAACATTTGTGCCGTATTCAAAGGGCTGAATAACCAGCTCATAACAACAGGCCACATTTATGGGGGAAATTGGAGGAGTCACTTCAGTCCAAGCAGCCCAGACTAGTTCAGACCAGATGCGGAAAGTGGAAGAGTAAAAGTGCCGGCCCCAGGGAGGCCAACTCAGGACACCGGCCGCAGAAGCCGAAATGTACAGGAGATAGGACTTATCCCAAGACACACTTCACTTGTGCTCACGAGGACCTTCAGTGGTAAGTGGAGACTGAAGCTTCCTGGATACTGGCAGAGCCAAATAATTCAATTTGATCAAATTCAAGGTGTCATGGTTAATTTCATTTTGGCTTTGCCTAGAGCCAGTAACTGCAGGTCAGAGGTGGAATTTATTGGATTTTAAGTTGAAACCAAAAGATCCAGATGAGCTCTGCCATACTACCAAAGGGAGGCCTGAAGAAGTGACAGAGAAAAGGAAAAGGCAAAAGTTGGCAGGAGGAAAAAGGGAGGAAAGAAAGAAGCTAGCTCATTATTTAGCACTTAGCGAATGTGTGGCTTGTGCTAAGGACGTATGACATCTCATGCTATCGTCAAGAAAGACTAAATGAATCTTGCTCTCTTAAGACATCTCATAAAAGAGTGAACCATTCAAACTAAAAGGACATTAGCAATTGAGTGGGTTCGGTTGTCTGTATAAAATACATGTTTACGACATAATGCTATGGAAGGCATATAGAAAGTAAAATGGTAAGCCTACAGGACTTACGGGACATCATTAAGTAAATAAATCTTCACATTGTGAGTGTTTCAAAGGGAGAGAGACAGAAGGGCACAGAAAGCTTATTTAACAAAATAATTGCTGAGTGTTTTTTTAACCCTATTTTTCAGCAACAGCAGCAAACTTTGGTTTAAATGAAGTCACTGAGAAACTCACTGCACAGAAACGGATAAAAGTATAATTGTGACCTTAGGGGACATCTGAGTTCCCTAAATAAGAAAGAGAGCTGGTGAAAGAAACAGGTAAAAGCTCAGATGACAGATCTCTCTTTCTCTCTCTCTCCCCCGCCCCCCACCCTGAATTCTTTCCACCATATCATACCACTTCCTTATGGAGGCCTAATAAATCTTCCTGAATTCATGTTTCATCTCTCCAATAAGATCATTAGCACCATCACCTCTCGGCCTTTTGGTTAAGATCAAGTGTCAAGATCATAAGCCTGATCATAAGCAAATGTCAAATCTCATACTTTTTGCACTTGTTTTACGTTCAGGGGTACATGTGCAGGTTTGTTACATAGGTCAACTGCATGTCTGAGGGGCTTGTTGTACAGATTGCTTCGTCATCTAGGTAATAGGCATAGTACCCAACAGGCAGTTCTCCAACCCTCTCCCTCTCCCCAATCTCCAGCCTCAAGTAGGCCCCAGGGTCTGTTTTTCCCCTTCTTTGTGTTCATGTGTGCTTAATGTTCGGCTCCCACTTATAAGTGAGAACAGGTATTTGGTTTTCTGTTCCTGATGTTAGTTTGCTTATGATAATGGCCTCTAGCTCCATCTATGTTGCTGCAAAGGACATGATCTCATTCTTTTCTGTGGCCAAAGTATTCTTTTTTTAATTTCCAACTTTTAAGTTCAGGGGTACATGTGCAGGATGTGGTTTTATATATAGGCAAATATGTGCCATGGTAATTTGCTGCACAGATCATCCCATCACCTATGTATTAAGCCCAGCATTCATAGCTGTTCTTTCTGATGCTCTCCCTCCTCGTACCCCCACCCTCCAACAGGCCCCAGTGTATGTTATTCACCCCCATGTGTCCATGTGTTCTCATCATTCAGCTCCCACTTATAAGTGAGAACATGCGGTATTTGGTTTTCTGTTCCTGCATTAGTTTGCTGAGGATAATGCCTTCCAGCTCCATCTATGTTCCTGTGAAGGACATGATCTCATTCCTTTTTATGGCTGCATGGTGTATATGTACCACGTTTTCTTTATGCAGTCTATTATTGATGGGCATTTGGGTTGATTCCATGTCTTTGCTATTGTGAGTAGTGCTGCAATGAACATATGCATGCATGTATCTTTATAATAGAATGATTTCCATTCCTTTTTGTGTATATATCCAGTAATGGGATTGCTGGGTCAAATGGTATTTCTGCCCCAGGTCCTTAAAGAATCGCTACACTTTCTTCCACAATGGTTGAACTAATGTAGGCTCCCACCAACAGTGTAAAAGCATTCATTTTTCTCTGCAGCCTCACCAGCATCTGTTGTTTTTGTGACTTTTTAATAATAGCCATTCCGACTGGTGTGAAATGGTATCTCACTTTGGTTTTGATCTTGCATTTCTCTAATGATAAATGATGTTGAGCTTTTTTTCATGTTTGTTGGCCGTATGTATGTCTTCTTTTGAGAAGTGTCCGTGCATGTCATTTGCAACCACTTTTTATTGGGGTTGTTTTTTTCTTATAAGTTTGTTTAAATTCCTTGTAGATGCTGGATATTAGACCTTTGTCAGATGCATAGTTTGCCAATATTTTCTCCCATTCTGTAAGTTGTCTGTTCACTCTGATGATCATTTCTTTTACTGTGCAGAAGCTCTTTAGTTTAATTAGATCCCATTTGTCTATTTTTGCTTTTGTTGCAATTGCTTTTAGCATCTTCACCATGGAAACTTTAATTGTGCCTATGTTCTGAATGGTATTGCCTAGATTTTCTTCTAGAGTTTTTATAGTTTTGGGTTTTACATTTAAGTATTTAATCCATCTTGAGTTGATTTTTGTATACGTCATAAGGAAGGGGTCCAGTTTCAATTTTCTGCTTGTGGCTGGCAAGTACTCTCAGCACCATTTATTAAATAGGGAATCCATTTCCCATTGCTTTCATCAGGTTTGTTGAAGATCAGGTGGTTGTAGGTATGTGGTCTTATTTCTGGGTTCTCTATTCTACCCCATTGGTCTATGTGTCTGTTCTTGTGCCAGTACCATGCTGTTTTGGTTACTATAGTCTTGTAGTATAGTTTGAGGTTGGGTCGCATGATGCCTCTAGCTTTGTTCTTTTTGCTTAGGATGGTCTTGGTTATTTGGGCTTTTTGGTTCCATATGAATTTTAAAATAGTTTTTTCTAATTCTGTGAAGAATGTCAATGGTAGTTTCATGGGAATAGCACTAAATCTACAAATTGCTTTGGGCAATATGGCCATTTTCACAATATTGATTCTTCCTATCCATGAGCATGGAATGTTTTTCCATTTGTTTGTGTCATCTCTGATTTATTTGAGCATTGGTTTGTAGTTCTCCTTGAAGAGGTCCTTCACTTCCCTTGTTAGCTGTATTCCTAGGTATTTTATTCTTTTTGTAGCAATTGTGAATAAGAGTTCATTCATGATTTGGTTCTTGGTTTGCTGTTGTTGGCGTATAGGAATGCTAGTGATTTTTGCACACTGATTTTGTATCCTGAGACTTTGCTAAAGTTGCTTACCCGCCCAGGGAACAGGGCTGGGAAGGTCTGTAGTCAAGCAGAGTTATTCCAAGTGGTGCATCTATGGAGGTGCCACCCCAGAATGGAGAGACAAGTTTTCATAGAAAGAAAAATCACTCACTATGTGTAAAGCTGGGACAAGCACAAAACTAGAGAATGGGCAAGGATTAGAGAAGCAAGAGGTCCAAACAGGACACAGTGCTGATGCTGCAAAGAATGAGGAATTCATTCATTAAAAACAGATATATTCTAATATAGTTGCTATCGTTGATTATGTAAGCATGTTAAGAACATGTTAAAGCATGTTAAGCCCCTAGGCTTCTCAACTCCTCTTCCTCTCCCTTTACTGTTATATAATATAATCAGACTGGACATGAGCTCATGAGAGGGATGTAGGTCTCAGTTCAATTTAATAAATATTTATGGCACATCGGACACTTTGCAAAGAGCTAGGATACAGAGTTCCTTGACTTCAAGAAACAAACAGATACTCCTTTCCTTCAAAAAAAGGAAAAATACATCCCTGCCTTCAAAAAGCAAGTAGTCTCTTCAAAAAATGCTCGAATAATTTCAGTACAGAGGGCTAAGTGTTTAACACAGTGTCTAATATCAAACAAATACCCAATGCATATCTGTTGAAGGCATGAATGAATGATAGAAGTACACCTCCAGTGGTACAGGAGTATAGCGCAGAAATGAGTGCAGTCTAAGGTAGGATATGATTGAAAGAAAAGTCAATTTGGTGAAAAAAAAAATTAATAAATGTGAAATGAAGTGATATGTTTTAGACTACTTTGCATTTTACAAAATACTTGTACATAGAATATCTCATTTATACTCACACCAACAAATAAGGAAGGTAGAATCCCCCCCTCACTTTTCATATAAGTCAATAGAAAAGTAAGAAATAGGCCAAGGTCACCCAGCTAGTGAAAGTCAGAGCTGGTACTTAAACCCATTTCTTGCAACTCTAAAGTTTGTGTATTTTACAGAAGCCCATGCTGCCACCAAGAGTCGACAAGTCTCAGATCTCTACTTGGAGCTTTGCATTCAAAATGTACTTCCACTACCATTTTCTAAGGTGTCTACCATTGTCTAAGGTGTCATTTCAGCTTCCAAAATGGGAAGGTGGGGAATCTTATGAAATTTCTGGAGCCATCACCTTGACTCTCTTTTCCTGGCCCCAGCACATAGAGAAACAAATGGTGAAAAGGAAAACAATAACAGTAGTAAAATGATAGTATTAGTAAAGTAGTAGACATACTCTTTAACAAAAACTCATTAAATGAATGCAAATCATTTAATGAATGATCAGTCATAATCACAGGAAGGTACTGTTAGCATAATGTTTGAGGGAACAATAAAATCATACATATATACGTACAGCATCATCAATTTAACTGTGAGAAATTGAGCTACTTTTTGCAGTTCTCTATGAGCATTGAGTCCTTGCACATAAATAAGAAATAACTTGGGCTACTAATGAGAACTCTGAACATAAAGGCAGCACCAAACCATGGTGCTGCATGAATGAAATGGCTATTTACATTTGTTTAATTATCTGGTTAATTAGGGAGCCATAAAATCAGAATGGGCTTGAGAGTTAAAGGGATAGCAGAGAAAATGCAACTGATAGTCTTCTGTTCCTTATCAAATCAAGATTTGCCTGTAAATAATTGCCCCCCCCCCCGAAGTTTCCTTCCTATTGCATACCTTGTCAAATCTAAAGGGATCTGCCCCAGCATCCTAAAAGCCTCCAAGACCTCATTCCTCCTTGGTGGGCAGTAGAAAGAGCAATGTGCTAGAAGTGTGAGTCCAGAAGTCTCACTCTCCATCTTGGAAAAGCCTCCACCTTTCCTCCTCCTGTCCCACGTCAGTCCTCCCCAGGGACCCCATCCATGGGCTTCCAGCCAGAGTCATGGATCACCCCATCCTGCCCACTCTACTTCCTTCACAGAGCCATATCCATCTGCTTCTTTGCAGCACAGGTCAGGGCTCACCTTCCACCTGGGCTGTGGCTACCACCTAGTCAGCCTACCTGTCTCCAGCCTCCCTCTGTCCTGCAAGGTAATCCTCTAAGACACAAATCAGATCAAGTCACTCTCACAATGGAAACCCTTTACTGTTTCTCACAACCCTAGAGTAACCGAAGATGAGAATTCAAAGCTCCTCACCCAGCAGTGTTGACACATGCAGGCTTTACTCTATTTCTTTGACTCGAGGACATGCTGTAAAATCAGTATGTATTAACAGTTTCATATTTAAGAAGTTGGGCAGTCTTAATATGTACAGATAATGCAGTAGAAAAGTTTATTTTTCTGTTAAAAATAATATTGGATTTATGATGTATTTTAGAACCAAGGAGATGAAGTATGAAGAAAAAAAGTAGGAAAAATTTTGCTCCACCTATAAGGGAATAGGAGGGATATTTTGAAAATTGAAATATCTACACAATGGTTTTATTATCATTTTTTAAAAGTGTATGAACTTGAAGACAGGCCTGAGCTGTCTCCTAATTCTAACACTTTCTAGCTCTTTGACT